CACCGTCAGCGCGCCCTTGACGATGCCCTGGGTCTTGACGTGCGTGCCGCGGAACGCCCGACCGTGGATCGCCCGGTTGTGCTCCTGCGTCTTGCGCACCGTCGCGAAGAGTTCTTCCTGTAGTTGCGCCTCGTCGTCGACGGCGGGCTCGACGGACGGGTCTGTCCATTTCACGTACGGCTCGCTGCTCAGGTTGGCTACGCCGGCGGCGGCGAGCGATGTGATTTTTTGCATCTTGAAAGAATGTTTACTTATATAATGACGAGGTTATCGTAAGTCCTTTGCGTATATACTCGAAAGTAATCGATATTAGACACTGAAGAGCAAATACTGCATGATACCGTAGTTGATCATGAACACTTGAGAATAGACCATGATGGTTTCTATGACGTGGGTGTTACTCCTGCTAGTGTGTATACTGCATTAGCTTTACTAGTATATGTAGTCGGAATGACGACTTTTGCACGTAAAGATATGATTTCGATAGACGGTCAGAATGTGAGCTAAAGTGAATGGTCTGTATCAGAGGGGGCGCATCTTGTTGAATCGCAGATGTCTTCTAATTGCTGCCAAAGCTGGTATAGCCACATTTTCTCGGGTGTGATTCTTTGATGTTGATGCCAACCATCAGGTATCACTGTGATATGTGGCGTTGTATTGAATATGGCATCAATTGCCTGCCAATGTCGCGATTGATGATATAGGAATCCGCTCAGATCCAAGGCCACGAGAATAAATGGGCATATGAAGACATTTTGTGCGACAAAGGCGTCATGCTTAGCTATATCCTATAAAGGAGAAGCGAAGCCCAAGTGAAGGAGAGTCAGGGGATATGCAAACTGTAATATACTGTAATTGAGACGAATGGGGCAATCCCAACATGAAAACGTCTTAACCTGTGACCGGTATACGTCAGCATCCCCCCCCGCGTAATCCCGCACTTGTCAGAAAAGCGGTTCCTGAAATGGTCTTGGTCGCCGTCGTTGATTGGTCGTCGCCTGCCAGGGGCGCCCAGGGGCAGTATTGCCATAGCCACCATCTTGGCAGGTAGAATTCCGGGGCCCTTCCGGTATCAAGAATCTCCACGCAACGGCCGATCGCCGGGGTCGATTTCGACTGGTTGAGGCCGCGGGAGGAATAAGGGGTATTATTTCTGCCCGGGGAATTAAGCTGCTCTCAAACAAAACATCTGGCCCAGAAGATACGTACGAAAGAAGCAAAAAAAGGTTTGCGTATGCTGCAGGTCCCGCTGAACTAAGTTATGGATTTCGGGTCCATCTAGTGTATGTATTATGTAGTGCCATTGGACAGGGCTCCAGGGTATACAAACATGTATTATCGAGTGGTGTCTAGACTCGGTAAGAGCCTCCATCCCTTGTCGTCCACCATTCCATAGCGGGTAGTATACAGGTGCTACTCCGTACTAATGTTTTATATATCGTCTCTGCAAGCTTTGATCTTCGTAGCTGATCGCCTCTGTCGCTCCTGATGGTTCTGTAGATTATTGAGAGATTGACTCACAAACTCTGAACCCCCTTGTGTTGGCCAAGACCTGCGACGCTGCCGTTGTTACCGAACGGCTGGGCGCGCTCCTGGCCTTGACGGCTAGAACGGCAGATTTGTTGGCACCTCATTGCTCGGCATCTCTGGAGCCGCGCGCTCTCTCTCCAGCTTTTTCCCTTCCCATCTGCCAAACCGAATTGGATCCCATGTTGTTTTTGCTTCTTTTCACAATCTGTGATCAGTCCCGTTTGCCAGCTGCGGCCTGGTTTCCTTTTTCGCGTTTTCTAATTTGGGAACAATCTGGAGTTGTTTCACAGACTTTCAAACATTGGACCCAACGGCGCGGCGTGGCGTGGAGCTCTTGGAATTCATAACGATAATAGCCAGCAACTCGAGGTCACTCGCCTGTTACACCTCGTGCCCGGAGATACTATTTCTCAAAATAGTATAGCGATACTCGATCAGCTTCCAAACGCCACATGGATATCCTCGCGAGCCGTATGCTTGGACGTTTTTCTCAGAGGACCTTTTCTCGACATCGACATCTGCATCAGTCCCACTGATCCCATCCGACTACACCTCGAGCCAGGCGGCGGCTGGGTCTTCTTCGTGGCTCTTACGAGATGCTGACAAACATCTTGCGCCCGTCCCGAGTGAGTGGACTGATGACGACGATTTTGGCAAAGAGACGCTTCCTCATTGCTCTTGGTATTCCGCTCATGATCTTGTGTAAGTGCTTCCTCACATATGTGCATCATGGACAGTCTCCTGACTAAACACCTGTTTCCACACATAGGTATGCTCATGTCTGGAGTCGCCGTCGACCATGACGTACATACAAACAAGGCCGATGTCCTAAACGGCATCCGTGTTGGCCACGTGCCATCGAACTCTTCCCGGCCATCCAATGGCACCATCAGCGCACTCAAGGAGCGACCAGCCATGACCTACACCGGATACAGCCGACCAGGATACGAGCTTCCGCTGGCCAAGGGCATTCCCCTGCGCATCATGGCCCTCGGCGCCTCGACGACGAGAGGCGACAGCCCCGTCGAGGTCGACAATAACGGCTTCCGCCGCCCCTTGCGGCAGCGGCTGACGGCGCTCGGCCACAAGGTCAACTTCGTGGGCAACGACCGGCTCGGCAACATGACGGACAACGACATCGTGGCGGGCCCGGGCGCCCAGGTGCACATCATCCACGAGTTCGCCAAGCAGTACACGGCCAAGAGCAAGCCCAACCTGATCCTCGTCAACGCCGGCACCAACGACTGCCTGGTGCACGTCGACATTGACAACTTCTACAAGCGCTACGACGCCCTGGTCCAGTACCTCCTGATGGCCTCCCACAAGGCCACCATCGTCATCGCCACGCTGCTGCCGACGTGGAACACGTGGTTCAACGGCAGGGAAGACGTGTTCCGGGTGAACCCGCAGCTCCGCAGACTGGTCAAGATCTACCAGAAGCAGGGACTGCCGGTCGTGTTGGCAGAGATGCAAGGACCGGACGGCATACAGGACGAGAATCTCGCCGAAGATGGTAAATACACACGACTTGTTCCTGTTCTTTGTTTGGGTGACTGACTTGTACCGCGAAAAGGGATGCATCCGGCGAAACCAGGCTACGAGATGATGGCCACCAAGATATTCGAGGCCATCCTGGAGGCCGACGCTCGGGGTTTCCTGCAGCACGCCGAGCCCGTCTCGTGGATCCCGGACGACGGCGAGGAGCAGCGGCAAAACGAGGAGGGCTACCACAGATGGTACCAGCAGCAGCACGAGGCCGACACCGCGTGGAAGAACCACGAGGAGTCGGAGATGGCCAAGATGGAGGCAGCCCTCGAGGTCATGCGACAGCAGCGCAAAGCGTCTGGATGAGGACGATGCCCGAGAGATGACAACTATCATCATCTAGAAGATTCTCCAGCGCGAAAGTGCTGAATACATGGTTGTGCCCGGGCTGCAGCCTCAGAGGCAATTCGAGAAGCAGACGCCGCCACTAGACGCACAACCGCCGCCGTCGATCTTTGTCCGGCGAAGACAATGAGAATATCACATGAAGACGAACAATGGCGGTGCTGGCGGGAATTAGCTTCTGCTGCGTGGCACAAAGAAGCAATACTAAAGGAGGCTGCCGCCCGGGATCGCAGGATATGGTTCGAGGGCAACATGGGTGGTGCGACTTTAGAGATGGCCGTGTAGACAGCCGGGTAGACGGCCGTATAGAGCAGCATGAGCGTGCCGTACGTACAGTGATGACGAATTTGAGTCTCCCATAGACCATTCTAGATTAATAGTACATTTGGAGTCAGGTTTCCGCGTGGTGCCGGTGGGGCTTAGATATTGTATTGCGGGATGTTCTTAAGCGATTTCTATCTTTCATAATGGACCTTGATTGCAAATATTTCACTAGAGAAGTTGTGAAAATATCATGGCGGCGTTCCTTTGTTGGGTGCGAGCTTGTTGAATTTATTGTGATCAAAGGAGTCTGGCAGCACCGGCAATGACCAGGGGATTGTGACATTCTATAGCAACTTGCAAACGGTTAACGACGATATCTTGACAAAGGCGTCGACTGCATTGCTGGTATATTTTCTAATTCGCTAAGAATACCAAAGTGACAAATTTGACAATGATTCTGTTCGCGAAACTGTACTAAAATCCTCGAATACGGGTACTACAACCCAAATGAAATGTTTATCTTGAGATCTTTCTGGAGTGGTTGCTGGAGCATCTTCTGGAGCGATATCTGGAGCATCTCCTCTGGAGCATCTCCTCTGGAGCACCTCCTCTGGAGCATCTTTTGGACCTTTTTTTTCTTTTTTCTTCTTCTTTTTTTGGCAGCACCCCCTGGACAATTTTCTGAAATCATGTCTAAACCATCCCTTGGAGCGGCCTCTGGAGCGACTTCCTCTAAAGCGGCCTTGGGTTATCCTTTGGCAAATCCTCTGGAGTAACATCCAGAGCGGCTTCCTTTGGGGTAGTACTATCTTTGGGAGCATTATTTTCCGGAGTAGCATCTTTTAGTACAATTTACTTGGAGAATTCTTTAGAGCAGTATCTGGGGAAGTACCTGGGGCATCATACAGTATATCATCGGGAGCGGCGTCCTCTGAAAAACATTCTCCGGAGAAGGACCCGATGGCTACAATATAAACATATGGAAGCTGACCACCACAGCCAATGACAACTGTACAAAATAATTGAGGGTTCACAACGGTTTGTGCATAGCGCTGGAGGGAATCTAAGCGCCAGCTCCAAAAAACATACTCACAACGCAAACTATTCAAGGTATAATAAGTGATGAGCAGTTATTAGGATACAATACGCTTTGAACACTATTATATGAAAGAATCCAGCAAGTTCAGAACATGGCAGTCCGTGGGGCAGTGGGGGCGGTGGATGATGCATTGCCACCTTACCGGTTTGGTCGATTAATTAGTGAAGTGTCTTAAGATTAAATTAGCAAGAAATCGTCCAAAGCGATCGGAAGTCGATCTCTTATAGTGTAGCGGTTAGCACGTGGGATTTTGACACGGCTCTTGTGGCTCCATTTCAATATTCCCGAGTCCCCGGTTCGAACCCGGGTAAGAGATAATTGTTGTTTTGTTTTTGGTACGCAAAACGTTTTGTTTCTTTATTTACTGTGGAAGTCTGCGCTGTGTCTGTTATTGACATACCTTATATTTGGTGGCAAATGCTTTTTGTCTCGGGTATTATTTAATTTTATTTATTTAGTTGTATTTTAATTTTTTCCAGTTTTTTTTTTATTTGCACAGTCTGCGTTGGTATGGTATTTGGTGACGGGCGGCGGTCTATGTCTCAATTTCTGTCTAACAAGAACAAAGTAAGCCAGATGTTCAGTTAGTTGTGATTCTTTGTCTGGAATAATTGGCCTTTGTCATTATATCAGGAACAATGCATCTTCTTGAACCGAGTCATAAGCCTCCGGTGCTTCTTCTCCAGGAAGCTGTCAGCCAGATTCCACTGCCCGCCTGCCGCGGGGTATTCTTACGCCGGCGGGGTTTTGATCTATGGAGACCTCTTGGAAGCCGATAGCAAGCACATCATCGCCAACTCGGACCTGTCTGCTGCCTCATTGGTCAAGGAAGTCGAAAAGAGATCAACGTCGGGAACATCCCCGAAAACTGCATTACTACGTGTACCTCACTGTGCATCTGATTGCCTCCGTCCGGCCTTCGGCTTCTCTTGCGGGGACTAGTGAATCAACTCATACATAAATCGTGTGACGCAAGAGGTTCTCTCCTTGGATACTACTCATTCGTATAATTGTTCTTTGTTTCAACCCATGTTCTCACGAACGGCCCGCTGCACCCTTCGTACACTTGCCTGCCGACCGTTTCTCTCCAGGAACCCCTTGACTGCCCTTGTTCGCTCCCTTCCGGATTTCTTCTTCCAGCAGCAGCAGCGCGCCAACATGGCCTCCGCCGTCGCCAAGCGCCTCTCGGGCAAGACCATCCTGATCACGGGCGCCAGCTCGGGCATCGGCCGCTCGACCGCGCTCGAGTTCGCGAGGTCCTCGCCGCAGGACCTCAGGCTGATCCTGACGGCCCGCCGCACCGACGAGCTCGAGAAGCTCGCCGCCGAGATCACCAAGGAGGTCGGCGCCGGCGTCAAGGTCCTCCCCGTGCAGTTCGACGTCTCCAAGCCCGCCGAGGTCCGGGGCTTCGTCGGCAGCCTGCCCGGGGAGTGGAGGGACATTGACGTGCTGGTCAACAATGCGTAAGTTGTCATTGTCTTTGCATTGTAATGATTCCTTTGTCTTGATTGGGAATGTGACCGAATGGAGTATACTTGGCATGCTTGCTTAGGCGGGCTGAACCTGCTACTCGATTAATTGTGGAAAAAAGAGAACACCGTGCTAATTGGGATCTCCAGCGGCCTGGTCAAGGGCGTCGCGCAGGCGCCCAAGATCGCCGAGGACGACATTGACGTTATGTTCTCGACCAACGTGACGGGCCTGATCAACCTGACGCAGCAGATCCTCAACGTCTTCCTGGCCCGGCCGGACGGCGGCAAGGGCGACATCATCAACGTCGGCAGCATCGCCGGCCGCGAGCCCTACCCCGGCGGCAGCATCTACTGCGCCACCAAGGCCGCCGTCCGCAGCTTCACCGAGAGCCTGCGCAAGGAGCTGGTCGCCTCCCAGATCAGGGTCATCGAGATCGACCCCGGCCAGGTCGAGACTGTAAGTTTTTTTCTCCATAGAGAGAGGGAGACTGAACCCCTGTAATGAGGTACAATGGCTGACACCCGTGGCAGAACTTCTCCGTCGTTCGCTTCGGCGGCGACAAGGCAAAGGCCGATGCAGTTTACGCGTAAGTGATCAACATCCTCCATAGACACTTGTGGGAGCTTTTTTCCTCTAACGCTTCGCAGGGGCGTCGAGCCATTGACACCCGAGGATATTGCAGAGGTCATCGTTTTCGCAGCAGGAAGAAGGGACAATGTTGTCATCGCCGACACTCTTATCTATCACAAGAACCAGGCCGGAGCTACCTCTGTTCACCGGAAGTCTTGAAGAGTACAAGGGTGGAAGACGACGGAGCTCATAAAGTATACTGTATATCTACTAGAGAAGATGCAAATAAACTGATCCCAGACAGAGTAGTAGGTTCAACGATACGTGCAGCACCCGGTGCAGGTCGAGTTGTCCATCCAGCTTCCACTCCAGCTTCTCCTCTAGAGTTTTTCCTCCAGAGTTTTTTTCTTAACCACGTGGTCCTGACATGGAGTCTGTGGTTTGGTGATCCCGGGCAGTCTTCAATGGAAATTGACACGCAGAAAATCTCAACGGCAAGCATTGTCACGAATGATAACGGTTTTAACTCATAGAACTGACTGTATTCTGTATATTCTAGCACGAGCCGCAAGTACTGGCTGCTGGTACAGACTACCTTGATATGTCCTTCCATGTATACATGGTCTGTAAGACTAGATGCCTTGCTACGAGACTTACCATGTTGACAGAGCTTATGTTTACAACCTGAAGACTATTCTTCGAATCAGCAATGATCAAAACCAGCGTTGATATGAGAACAAGTAAATGTGCAACTTGAATCAGAAAGCCGTATATTACTCATTCACAGAGAACCGGCATCCTTCCAGCAGGCCTCAAGACGAGACCTGCCAGTCAAACGCACTGGAACTAAAATTACGCCCGAAGACAACTCCACAACCGATCATCGATGCCAGAACGACAACTACAGTGCGGGAGAATGGCTCGGCCCCCGTGAGATCGTTGAATGGATAAACGCGTTTCATCATAAAGAGCGCTGATGTAAATGAGATAGATGCTGAGCTTACCTTGTCGTTGAGGTAGTCGAGGAGACGAGCGATTGCTGACTACACAGCGACCTAGAGGTCTGATTTTGACAGTTAGCCAATGTTCGACAAGCGATTCAGAATGTCAAAAGATATTGGTGGGAACATGTAATCAGAAATATGTATTTGGTATAAGGGTTATCTTCACAGCGCTTCAGAAGCAGAACTGAAAATAAAGTTTTTCATCACGGACATGTTGTTGGATCTTGAGGTGTGGTGCAGTGAAGAGGTTGACTTACTCAGCAGTACTTTGATGGTGATAATGATTTCTTTTTATGCGTATGATGCCTAGAGTGATCTTTCCCACAAAGTTAGCCATGATCGTTCGATACACGTCTTCCGGTGAATAGAATTGGGATGTTTGAAGGTGCTTCAGATGGTGATGCATGTTAGTTCTGCGCTCATGGAAATCGCTAAGAACAGTGGATAAAGAATCATCAACAGCGAGGAGGGTGTTGTAGAATGCGATAATCCGAATAGAAGTAGATGGTGTGTGCTTACCCTCGATTCTGTAGACGCGACCACGCCGTCCTCGAGAGGTGAACACCAACGGCCACGGCCAAGCGGGCAAGTTTCTGACGAGCACTTCCCAAGCAAAGCCCGCAACCTTTCGGCACAGGGCATTTGCAGGCAAGGTCAATCAGAGCTCAAGATAATCCTTTTGAGCACTTGTCCACGAATGGCGCTGCCGCTGTGTTACCGCAGAGAGTCGGCGACAGTCGCGTTGTTTGAAGTTTTGAGGAACGATGATGTGAAGGTAGAGAGGAAGAGGCTCAGGAAATTCCCAAGCTCAAGAAAAATCTATTTGGAGGTAGGTGACAATTTTGTGGCCGGTGCGCAATTGGTTCCGTTGGTGGGCTGGACGCCGCGGCAGGTGGGGCAATTCTTCTAGTGGAGGTACCTTCTCCAACATCCCTGCTCTCTTTTTCAAGAGCTCCCGAAAAGTGACATACATACCGCAAACGTGAATTTTTGGCCGCCGTCCGCCCGGTGAACTCGTTCGGATCGCAACATTCACGCGCTCTACTACATATCATGGCCGACCGGAGAAGAATCAATGGGCCCGTCGGAACGACGACGCCACCAGTCTTTACACGGACACCTTCTCGTCCCAAGCCCAAGCAGTCCGACTCGATTCGCAAGATCTGTAAGTAGCGGGGTCTCTCTTTCTTGTCGAACTCTGACCTCTGGTTACTTCTGCTAATATGCCCGGTCAGTCCTGAAGACCGGTGTCACCCCTTCGGCCTCTGGATCAGCTTATCTCGAACTCGAAAGCCGTCCGAACCATCCAGTCAAGTCGAACCTGAAGCTGTCGTGTACAGTCCACGGTCCAAGGGCGCTTCCTCGATCGGCGCCGTTCTCGCCTCACATCATCCTTACTACTCACGTCAAGTACGCACCGTTTGCGACAAGGACGCGGCGTGGTCCCCTCAGAGACTCGAGCGAACGCGACTTGGGCGTACATCTGGAGACGGCTTTGCGCGGCGCCATCATCGCAGACCGGTGGCCCAAGAGTGGTGTTGACATCATTATCACTATAATTGAAGGTGACCAAGATCGCCATGCTCCCCACAACCAAGACGATGAAAATTGGGAGATGATGAATGTGCTGAGTGGCTGCATTACTGTCGCCTCTGCGGCAATTGCCGACGCCGGCATCGACTGCGTGGATACAGTGGCCGGAGGCGTTGCGGCTCTAGTTTCCAAGAAGGAAGGCGACGTGCCCAGCATCATCGTGGATCCGATCGTGGCCGAGGACCACAAGATCTTGGCCGCATGCTGTGTGGCATACTTGCCTTCAAGAGACGAATTGACAAATCTATGGTTCAAAGGACAGCTTCCTGGTGGCGACTTCATGGTGTATAACACAATGCTGGAGCGGAGTATGGTGGCTAGCCGGAGTGCCAACAGGGTGATTGTTCAAGCTCTGAGCGAGACGGCCAAGAAGGGGCAGGAAGCTACATGAGATCGAGTTGTGTTGCGATGGATATGAAGATTATACGCACCAGTCATGGCAATAGAGGACACGAAGCTTGAGCTTGAGGGCTGGTGCGGCATGGGAGAGAAGCCGCGTCCTCGCAGACTGCGCAGAGCATGACATCCTGCAGACACTCCATTCTGTACACCTGGGCATGGCTGATGATATAAAGGAGAACTGGTGCTCTGGCTTTGAGTGCTGCCTCAACACATTTGTTGAGTTGACCGCATTGCAGCGATGCATAGCACAAGGTCAAGCACCTGGCGATGAGTA